TCCGAAATCTTTCCCACATGATTGTGTCATCTGTATAATCACTGACTCATCTTATTAAACAAATACCAATAATATGCATTTTTAAAAACATAATTTTATAAATTTCTAAGTTAAAGTTAAAATTAATTTTCCTTATCAAATTCTACAAGACTTCAAAAAAAAATATTAATATTCTTTAGTATTTGAAGATAAAAAGCAATCTAAATTTGAAATTTGTTAGATTTTAATATTAAATAATTTTTTAAGAATTTTTTCTCTACATTTAGCACGAAATTATTTATTTTAGAAAATATAAATATGTATATTTATTTGAAAATAATTATTAAAGAATTTCGTTTTCTTGAAGAATTTTTTTTAAAAAAATTTAATAGATAATAATAATAATAATTATATATAATAAAAGTTTAGAAAAAAGTTTTTTAGAATTAATTTTTATATTTAAAAATTATTTTTTTTTATAAAATATAATTCTATTTTTCAACACACATGAATTAACAATATTGATATTGATAATATTGATAATTATGAATATTGATAGAATACTAATATTCATAATTAATAGAATTAAAATACAAATATTTTATTTTATTTTTATTCCATTAGTACAATAGATTTTATATACACAATAGATAACATTCCATATAAAAAATAAAAAATATTAGTTAGCAATTTTATCAATTTATCAATTTAATAAAAAAAAAAAAGCACACGCCATTGCAATGCAATTTTTTTTAGTAAAGAAGTACGCATGCTTTTGTTAATATTCTGTACATTTAGAATGCGACTTGTTTTTTATTTATATTAAAAAGATTTTTCACAAAATTTATCAATTAAAATTATTCGCAAAAATTATTGATTTTACATCTCTCGAATATTAAATTTGTGTAAAAATCTTAAATAGAATATCCTTCATGGAAAAATTAAAAATAAAAAGATGTGAAAATTATTATATAATTTTATTTTTAAAATTTTTTAATTAATATGAGAATAAAATTATAATAAATAAAAAGAAGAATAAAATTAATTCCAAATATTTATATTTGAAAAATTTAAAATATTTTATTAAATAAAAAAAAAAGAAAATAATTTTCTTTTTCAAAAAATATAAATAATTTTAAACAAATCGTTAATTCTAAATGTTTAATGTGACTTCTATTAAGTTTTGTTTACTATAGCTAAAATAAAAAAATATATAATTAATTAATTAAATTAATATTTTAAGATATATCATCACTGATATATAACATATAATACAATTATATAATTATATATTATACAATTATATAATTATATAATAATATAATTATATTAATATGTATATCAGTAACATGTGTATATGTATACAAATTGTAAATTATCGAAAGTGATAATATCATAATTATTACATGTGCAAAAGTGATTAAATAAAAAGAAAACTTAAACAAATTAAAATAAATTTTTACATAATTTATTTATGTTATTTTTTTATAAAAATACATGTATTCATCAAATATATTATTATTTCTACTTATATTTAATTAAACTAAAAATAAAAAATTTTGATCATTATTTAATTTACTCCAAAAAAAAAAGTTGATTAATTTCGAAGAGAAATCGAATAAATTCTTATAGTTTTTATTCTTATGTTCTTTCTATGAAAAAATGGAATCATCTTTTAAATATTATTTTATTTTTCTTTGATCAATCTATGATTAACTTATAATGTTTTATTTTTAAATATATTATATATAGGATTTTAAACAACTTTTTTTTATATACATAAAATATAATCATCAGTCGATTTTAGTTTTTGAAATATTTACACTAATTAAATATTTACATTAAAAAAAATCTGTTATTAATTTTATCTATAGATATACATATTGGTGATAATATTAAATGCGATCATTATTATACTTATTGTATATTACGATAGCCAACATTCAAAATATGTCTCACATTTATACAAATATATTATAATTATATCATTTTAATTATTGTAATTTCAATCGTTTAAAATTTATTTTATATTTTATTTTCCATTTTTTTAAATAAATATTCGGTAATTTTCGAAAAATATCTAAACTTTAATGTAATAGTAGCAATTATTTTTAGCAAATATCTCAAAAGCTAAGATTAATCGATGATTATAATATATATATAATTCTATATATATATCCTTTCCTATATATATATATATATATACCTACATAATACACATATACATACAAGTTTAAAACCTTGTTTTTTATAACATATTTAAAAATTATCAAAATTCACATAATATTCCTAAATAATTCTTTTAAAAGTATTATAATTTATTGGTAAATATTCCTTATATTGTCAGGAATAATAAGTTTTTCGAGAAAAACTTTTATTTTGTAATTTACAAAAAAATTTTGAAATAAACATTGTAAAATAGTAATAATAATAAATATTTCATATATGTAAATAAATAATAAACAATAAATCGTACTACATCATATTTTAAATAATTTTGATGATGAAAAAAATTTTATAGCTGTATACAGAACAAATTTAAAAAATTATGAATAATATTGAATGACTTTCAAAGACGATATAATCTATAATATTTGATTAATAAAATATACAATTCTATTTGTAATAATAAAATTATTTAAAAAAAATAAAGATGACTTGAGATCTCGAAAACATCTCTTAATCATAAAACATGCATACAAATATATGAATAATATATAGTTTAGAAAATAGTTGCGTAGATCAATTAAAATAAAATACTTTATATTCATATATTTATGAACAATCTAAGAATTATTTAATTAATTAAATAAAATTAAAACATGTAATGTATTTAAATTTTATTTTAAATGTATTTAAATTTAAATTTTAAATTTAAAAACAAAAACGTATTTAAATTTTTATTTATGAAGATATTTCAAATCTAATTAATTTTTTTAAAATATCAATTAATGGCATTAAAAATCATGAATGATTTTTTTTAATATAAAAAATAATAAATATAATTTATATTTTTTTTGATTTAAAAAATTATCATAAATGTAATTATAATGACAATTATGATATAATTAGAACGACATTGGATAAGTGGGAATCTATTGTATTTTTATTCTTAAATTTTTTTCAAGTCATTTTTCAAAAAAATAAAATTATTTTCCTAAATCAATTTTCAATAGCATTTTTTTTTATTCAATTTCATAAGTTTTGTATATATAAAGAATACAATCTAAAATTATAAAATCTATGCAATTCTATCAATTGAATATTCCTTGTGAGATATATTGTTCGTTGATATATATTTTTTAAGTATTATTTTATTTACTGAATCTGTTTTTTTTCCCAAATTTTAAATTCTATATGTTTTCGTTTATTTGAAAATAAAACTATTGCGAATTATTCTGAAGAAATTGTTTCTCACAAATCGATCTACGTTAAAAAACTGTCCAAGTTTCGAATGTTAACGTATCCTGATTTGTTTGCAAATAAATAAGTTTCCATATACCTGCAGATATTTTATAACATGTTTGATTTATTAAGAAAAAATATACGAAAATTATCTAGATATAGACATAAACTATATAAAACGTGTGTTCATAACATAAAGTTAAATCTATCAAAATACACAATTCATAGTAAAATATCCACATAGCAATCTAAAAAGGAATACATTTAAAAATGAAACTTTCGAGAGTATTTTATAAATAGATACACTTGTAAAAAAATATTTTTCAACAATTTTCAAAAATTTTATTACTGAAATGAATTTGTATCATATATATTATAATCCTTACAGTATTATTAAAATAAAACTTACTGTTAGAATATAAAACGATTTCTGAGTTAAAAAATATCTACCAAAAAAATTTGAACAAGAAGTGAAATTATTTATTATGAATTTTTTATTATTAATTTATTTATTTTGTTAATTCAATTAATAAATTATCATTTAATTATAATAATAATAATCATTTAATTATAAATAATTTAAATTCAAATTTATGAAAAAAATTATTGTATTTTCACGTATTACATAAAAATATATTATTTTTAAATAATTATCTTTCAAAATATTGTAAATAATTCAAATTATTTTTTTTACTATTCTTCTAATTAATTAAATCTCTTAATTAAATGAAACAAATATTGAAGAATATTGTATACTTACAAATTATATATAATATTTAAAAATTAAAATAAATCTATCTTACAATTCTTACAAATCATGTATGTATATATATATTCTAAAACAAATTGCATTGCATAAAATTCATTTGTGAAAAAACGAAGAGACAATCCCTCAGATAGAGATTTTAAATTGGAAATACGGATTTAAATCAGGATTTAACACGAATTTAAATCAGATTTGACAAATCTGCAAACGAGATAGAAGCAGAACTGATATAAATGATAACTGAAAAAATGACAAAAAATCTCTTCTCTTAATGAAAAAAAATGAATTATAAACAGATTTTTTTCAGGATCTCTCTTTCATTATTTATCAGTATAATCAATATAATCAAGTTTTACTTTTTCTCTGATAATAGCATTTATTAAATATATATATGAAATGTTATCATTTTTGTTAAGAATTAATTTTATTATTTTATTATAATTTTATTATAATCAATAAAAATGTTTGATGATCCTGTACTGAAAATAATTTTATGTCAATAAATAATTTGAATAAAATAATTATAAAAAAATGAAAGTTTTATCACATAATATCGAATACATTCATGTATAATATATATTTCCAAGTTATATTATAGAATATTATAAAATAATATTCTAAAATATTATAAAATAATATTTTCCGTATACATTTACAATATAATAAAAAAATTTTTTAATATAACAATAATTCATAATATATTGTAAAATATTTTGTTTCTTTTCTCAATTTCTTTCTCTTATTATATACAAATTCCTTTATTCTACAATATTTATATTTTTAATCAATTATTTTAAAACTCACAGTATAAACATTATTTTGTAAAAAATTAATTTCATCAACTTCAGTCTTTTTTTTTTTTTTTATAAAATAAGATCATTAATTAAGCTCAAATTGTGCACGTTTTCGTTTTTTTTAAGTTTGTTGTAATTTCAGAAGAAATAATGTTATTTGTATCTCCTTTTAACCATTCTAAAAGCCGAACTTTAGCTTTTCGGCCGATAAGAAAAAGATCTCTTTCGAGACGAGGAAGTTGATTTGCTAATGTAGGATCAGATATTGGATTTTGAGCCCAGTCCATAACTAATCGAAAACGAGACTTAAATGTCTGAAAGTAAAGAATGAAAAATTTATATGTTTTCAAAAATATATTTAAAATAATAATTATGCACAAAAAACATCATCTTGATGACATTAAAATATGTTATTTTTAACAATATTTTGAACAATTTTTTCCTATAGATATAACTATGATTTTTATTTAGTTTCTGAAATATTTGCAAAAATGATTCATATCGTATTTCTAAAATTTGATATAAATTTGAATGTGCTTGAAATAGTTTAGTTTCAATTTGAGTTAAAGTTAAGTTTTAATTTAAATTTAATAAATAAAAAAGATAATTACAATTCATGAAAACAGTATACAAATTTACTTCACGTTATCTAATTATATAATATACATAATAAATATAATTTCTAATATTTAAAATCAACGTTAGTATAAATAATTACATTTAAATTAATCTACAATTAAATCTACAATTAACATTAATTTTATATTACAATTAACATTAATTCAATAAAAAAGATAATATTTTATTATATTCGGGTTCTAACAATTTGATTCGAAATATAATTTTGAAATTTTTACTCTTAATTATTGATTATAATAAGTTATGGAGCAATTGAAATAATCAAAGAAAAGACATTCCATGGAATGAAAACAAAGATATAATGACATGTTTCATTTTGAGATCACTTAAATTTATCAAACTGACAATATTGTTTTAGATATTGAGAAATTTGAAACATGTAAAACATGTATTTAAAAAAACACTAATAAAATCGAGCATTTATAAGAGAGGCAATGAAAAATGAGATATCTGACATTTGAAACATTGTTCAGTGCTGGAATCCTATACATGGAAAAAATTATCAATCTAAAAGAAAAATTTTTTTTTTATTTTTTTATAAATTGGTTTTGGTTAATCTAATAAAATGATGCTTCTATAAAAATTAAAGCAAAATTTAAAGCAAAATAAAATTTTAATGCACAAATCCAATATTTTAATTTAAAAAATGTTAAAAAATTACATAATAGTGAATTTTTTATTAATTATTTTGGTAATTATTTGTTAATTAATTAGAAAAATAATCTCTATAATATAATATAATTAATTGCTATTATTTATATATACATATTAAATATTTTTATAAAATATAATAAAAACATTGCAATATTAATCTATTAAATTCAAATATTTAATTTCAATATATTATTTTTTAAGTTCGATTGTTGAAAGAAAATAATAAAAAGAAGTTTTATAAAAATTAGTTTTATTTTTTTAATAACAATATTTTTAAATATTATTATATTATTAATATATAATAATTTTAGCAAAATTAAATATGCAGAACTATTATGCATTTATTTTATTATAAAATTTATCATAGAAGAACTATGCCATATTATTTCATTTGTTACTTTTACATCAATTTTTATAATGGCTCCAGAAAAAAAAAGGAACAGAAATTACTACAAATTTATAAAGAAAAATCTTTACGGGAAATTAATAGTATAATTATAATTATAATAGTATAATAATACTATTATATACTATAATTAGTTAATATACTATATACTATACTATATAATTAGTTAATATTAATATACTATAATTAGTAAATTCTATTTTATTTTATTAAACATAAAATAATTAATGAATTTGTGAATTTAGAAGATATACTATGAAATAAAAGCAGCGAAGGAAATGAAGAAAAATGAGAAAAAATGAAAAAAAAAATATGTAATACAGCAAATATAATGGATATAAATGTTGATATACTACGTTATTTCATATACAAACGTTAAAAATTATTGATAAAATTATTTAAATCACTTGTATGTGTTTTTATTTAAATTATTTTATCTGTCTATATTCAAAAATAAAATTATAACAATGTAATAAAGAATATAAAATTAATAAAAATAATTTTACAATCATTTTATATCAAAAGTATTAGCACGTATCGTAAAAATCTATATTTGTACGTTTTAATTTATATTCTTCACATATATTAAAACAAACGAAAAAAAAAACTGATAATCATTTTACTTGTTCTTATGTTATTGTAGAAGTTGATTTAATGGATATTTTTAGATTTATAAAAAAATATCAAATAAAAAAAAAGAAATTATGTCAAAAGAAAGAAAAATTATATTGAATTTGTACGAACAAGATAAATCTTGTTGAAGAAAATTGATGAAATGTTTTATTATTCGCATTAAATATTATTAAAAGATTTGCAAGTACATTAAATATTCATAATCATGTACGTAGTGTAAATTATCGTACAAGAAAAAAGGAAAATAATCAATATAATTAAATAATATAATTAAAATCTGTAATAAATTTTTCAGAAATGATTACAATGATTATATAAGATCATGATAAAAAAATTAACTTAAAAATAGAACTAAAAAAAATTAAAAAGAAAAAAATAATTAAAAAAATATTAAAAGATGCAAAATATTCTGCATGTGTCATAAGAAGAAAATTATTTATTAACGAATAGAATTTTCCAGAGAATTTTAAAATAAAAATAATGAATTTTGAAATCAAGTAATGAATTTTAGTAATTCAGTAAAATAAGATCATTATTTTTATTAAAATCAGATAACTAAATATTGAAGGAAATATAATATTATATAAGTTATAATAAGTTAGATTTGAAAAATCTCAACAGTTAAATATAGAAATGATGAAGTATACGAATGTTTTTATCCAGTTTTGGAAAATTAATATAAATTATTAAAGATTCAATAAATAAATCTATTTAAACAATAAAAAATAAACATTTTTTGTATATATAACAAATAAAATATTTTAAATAAAGATATATATACAAAAGAAGTGATTTAAATAATTTCATCAATAATTTTTAACATTTATATACTAAATACGTATTGTATCATTTAATTTTTTTAATATTTATATTAGTCACTGTTAATCAAAATTAAATTTAATAATAATGTATTAAAATAGATATTTTTTTAAGAGAAAACCTTGAAACTTGAAAAAGCTGAATCAAAACAATATTGAATTTTCAAAATGGGATTTCATAATCGATTATCTAAAAAAAAAAATCCAATATTTTCAAAGCAAACAGATTAAAAAAATTTTCAATTTGCCAAATAATATATAAATTGTTTAGAAAATTTCTGAAAAAATATAATTTTTTCTGAAGAAATTAAAATTAATTTATTTGATACATATAATAAAAATTGTATAGAAACAACTAAAATTTCATAAAAATCATATATGATTTTTAAATATACAAAGAATCATGATGTAGGATTGCGTAGCAGCAGATGGAAATTGAATATTCATATTTATAAAAATATTTATAGAAGAAGCAATGAATAAGATGAAATACATGAATATTTTAAAACGAGAATTAAAATCTTTGATTGAAAAATTACAGATTACAGATATTATTAATATATCATATCATTAATATAACTATTCTACTGTATGTGTTAAAGAATATTTGACATTTTATTTTCTTTATAATGATCTAAAATTATTAGAAATACCATCGTCAATCATAGAGTCTCAATTTAATAGAATTCAATTCAATTTATGAAGACAATTAAAAATCTAATTAAAAATTATAATATAAAAATAAAAAATGTAAAAAAAATAGCAGAAATAATATACAAAAATATTAATTGAATCGATGCCAAGATATTAATCTGCAAGCTCATGTAAAAAATAACAGACTAGAATATTATTATTAATATAATTATAATAATATAAAAAATATTAGTTTTTTTACAAATATTTATTTATGCTTAATTAAAAGAAATAAGTTATTATGTATTTTTATTCAAAAATATAAATATAAATAAAAATAA